TGCATTTTTTCACGTTTGTAAATCCCGTACAAATGTGAGAAAATGCTTGAAAACTAAAATGGTTTATGTTTACCCGAGCTTAGTGTAACTTTATCGACTCTTCAAAATTTGAGATTAGGACAAAATTTTTAAATTCTGTATCTTGTCGTTTCGTGTCACTAAGGATTTTATCACTAATATCTTAATTTTTTACTATTTCTTTCCTCGGTAAAGATTTTCTCTCCGTTCCGGTTGTGTCTTATTCACACGGCACATTTCTCGTTTTCTTTATCTCCCCGCTCATCGTGCTTACGCCTATCACTGTGCTACCATTCCCTCCTGATAGGGGTCATCCGTTAACTTTGATACTTGATCTACAAGTTAGCGCGTCCTAATCCACGGCTGTTTGCCTCTAGCCTTTGGTGTGATTACTCACTTATTATCAGCGCTTAATTTCCACCAGTTCGGTTGTGTCGATCATACACCGAGTCTCAGGATTCTGGGAGTCGTGTTTTCTCATCTAAATACGTGGTTCGGTTCACGCAAACGATTAGTGTAGCATTTAGCTAACTTTGTTGCTGTTAATAGCGTCTAACCTACACAGGTAGCATCGAATCCAAGCATTCATTTACACGTGTACTGCTTGGGAACAACACGACCACAAAAACTACTCCGTGTCGAAGGTTATATATATATATATATATATATATATATATCTGTGTGTGTGTTGCGTGGGAGAAAGGGGAACTGAGATGAGGTTGCAAAATTCATCTCGATTTCCTGGTTGGGACGCGAATATTTCGCAATGCAGGCAACCCTGAAGGGCATAGCTTAAATTTACTCTGTGCTTTGAGCACTACCAAGTAATCGCACACACACTCCAGTCAGAAAACCATCACTTCCTTTCCCAATTTGTTATCCTAGATCTGTTTTGTCTTTTAATAAAAATCATTCTCAAAACGTTTTAAGTGTTTTATCTCCATTGCAAACTTCACATCTAATAATTTGTCGGGCAATAATTCCAATTACTGTTGACCACGTGATATTCGATCCTTTCTTCATTGTAGCACATTCGCTGTACCATTCAGCGGGACAGTGCTGGTCTCGGATTTAGCATTGTAGGCGGTCGCGGAGCTGTTTCGGTACCGGATCGTGAAGTGAGTTCCATTTGTGCTCTTTATTCATGTGTTGATTTTTGCCTCGTTTTATTCATAACGAATTCGTTTGATCGTTTCGGAATACTTCATGGGTGACGCAACTAGTGCATTGTTTACTCGCTATTCTTTTTCGACTCAGATCCTTGGTGATTCATTGCTACTCGTATAGTTGTGTGAAATGAGACCGTGATTGATGGTTGGTAGTTAATTTTTGCACACTTTGTATTCCACCTCGACTCATTCTGTTCCGGTGCGTTTCTCAGTCTGATCAATACAGTCGTGTACGCATATGACTCGGTGCGAACCATCTGATGCCACTTGCAAGCACAATATGTGCTGTCGGCTTGTCTGTTCGCTGGAACATGTGCCCACATGCACACTCTTATAGCTCTTGGTGGTGATACTGCTGTTTGTGTGCGTGTGTGTGTGTACATGTTCATGTATGCCTTTGGAATGAAAGATAATCCACTGGAACCCTAGCACGTTCCTTATCAGTATAATTGTCATTCGAATTTATTGCCAGATACCGTACAGCAATCCACTGTTCATTCGAAGTGAATGATTTGCGTACAGTTCGTGATCACGCACACACACAGCTTGCTTCACTACAATCCACTTTCATGACCTACACATATTGCTATTGGATTAAAATGAATCCCGTGACTAGTTCTCACTACTAAACTAGGCGGGGGAAGGGATATCACATAAAACCGCTCATACTCAAATCGACTTCATATGATCGTACAGTGATCCAGACCTGTTGTCATGTGACATCGAATACATATTCCTGTTGTGCCATATTTCTTTACAGTCTCGATTTTTCCGCGACTGGATTTCCAATGCCAAAGTTGTATTTATGTGTGATTTGCCCTTGCGATTGGTGAAATCAATTTTCCCCTTCCCCGTCCCTCCTCTCTTCGTATTTTATCTGTCCTTGTCATTCGAATAGCGTTCCGGCTACTCCAGGGTATGTGGTTTGTGAAATTGCTCAGTTGAATTCAGTGTTCCGTTCACTCGTGTTTGTTCCATCTGGACTTGTAGCCTTATTTTCGTGTGAATGATGAGGATTCAACCACATTGTGCCTAGAGTTGGCATAACTGCTGTCGGTGTTGATCGTCATTTAGGTTCATCAGTTCTCCTTCGTTCACACCACAACATTTTTTCGGTTTATTCCAGTGGTTACCTATCCAACTAATATTCGTTCGACTCCGTCGATTGTTGGTCGTTTATTTTTTGTTTATCAGAATTATATTCCTGTCCGTATTTGAACATCAAAATTTGGTGTGATATGAAATCAGTGTCACTTCTGGTTGCTGAATTGGCCTGTTTATCGACAAAGTTGCATTTTGGCTTGCATTTTCTCCCCCCCCCCCTCTTTCATCTGGTTAAATTCCATTGGAGAAATCATTGATGGAAAGTGTGAATCGTTGGTTCATCTGATAACGATTGATGGCGCAGGCTTTCCTGGTATACAGTACTATTAACCAAGCGATATGGGCCTTATCATTCCAAGCCGCAGCGCTGAACTTCCCAATGCTTCTTACCATGCAATAGGTGTTAGCTGTGACAAAGTTCATTGATTCGACTTAATACCGTAATCCGTGGTATTAACTCCACGTGTACAATTGTCTTACTTTTTATAGTTACTCACCACTGTATTTATCGATGACATTGGTCACGTCTCTTCAAGCTTTCAGTCGTCCATCAAGTCTCATAGTTTGCATGCTTTTCTTCCACATAGCATTCCTCTATTGTTTTGATACATTTGTCTAATCGATTTAGCTTCCCATTGGTCCGACTGCATGAAATGGACTTATATTGTCTGGGCCGAAAACGTTTGGTTGTTGTTTCATCTGGCATGATTCTTTGTCGCGCAAGTTCTCTTCGTGCTCCATGTACGTGGTTAGTCTTTCTGTATTCTTATTTTCTTTCTTTTATTTTTACTTCCTTTTATTGAAAATAGAAATATACAATTTTTAGGAAGGGGGAAGTGGCCAATCAAAGGGCCGTCATTCAACACAATGGGAACGTCAGGTGCTGGTGGTTTGATTCGAACACATCCTCGGGGTGATAATTTGGTGACGTTACCACCGAGCCACCGCCACCCAATAACAATGCTTGGGGATCTAAATCCGTATTCCCTCAAATTTCATCTCAAAATCACACACCCACTAGGTTGCATTAGGGGACAATACCAGGTTCCCCCTTCTGTGTTACCATGCATGGTTTCTTCTCCAGACCTAGCATGAACACTGAATAAATTTTTCACAAATGCTCTGCTCAATTTCGAGTGAAAGACAACGTTTTTTAAGCACCAGTTTCATCCACGACCCAATCAATGCTCCAGAGTAGGTGGCGCACTTGGAGATGCTGAATCCTGCAACCCCCTACAATTTCGAAATTTAGTATTTTTAATTTCTAGTAGGTCATTTACCGTAAACTCCATCCAGGTTACCAAAGTACACAATACTCTTTCCTATATCGTTCCTGAGTGAATATGGTATTATCCTAAAACATGGACAGTGCTTAAATATGTTGACAAATGATACAGAGAGAGAAGCATGCGGGGACGTGAGAAACAAAGCTCTTACACTTTCGTTGCTTCGCTGTTACGCCCTCGGAATTATGACTTGACTGTTATAAACTAGTAAAATTGTAGCTTCACATCTGGCGTAGATGGAAAACCTTTAACAGATGTCACATTTGAAGCAAACGGTACAAGCATCATTTTAGTGCAAAACGACATCTATTTGATCAATCTGCCGTTGAGGTTTATTTGATGCGCTCACGTAACCAACGTCTCTTCGATATCCGATCAAACCGGTACATCGAAACGGGAAAGCGACACGTGTTGCCTGTGTTTCGATCACTCTGATCGATCGGTAGCATCAAATCTGTGTTTACGCGAGGTTCATCCCACCGGGGGAAAATGTGGAAAACGGCTAGTTTTATGCCTAATGGTAATGTTTAATATTTTTCTTTTATGCACAAAACGTTAGCAGTTTAGACTTGACATAGATGACAAATTTGCAAATTGACTGCTCTGTAGACACCTAAATATACTTCGTTGCAATCTTCCGCTCGTCACAATATACTGACACAGTTGTTTGTTCTCCCAACGCGAGACGAAAGCTTTCGTTTCTATGCCCCAAAAGGAACCCCGAACGAGCATTTCATGTCAAGCTTACGTAGAAGTGGAAGGTTGAACGCTTAATTTTATTCTGGACTGGTATCATATGCGGTCCTGCATTACTCGATGCAAAACAACCAGGTTTAAGTCTATCGACGGATTTATTTAGTTTTTCCATCCCGGCCTTCAATACTTTATCATTTCAAAGCTACTCGGTAATACTGTGTTGCCCAATGTTGCTGTGAAAAAGACGTTTGTTCTCTGCCGTATAATCAATATCCTTGTATTTCTTGACTCTCTTGGTGATATCAAATCTTATTGAATTTTGAATTCTGGCCTCTAGTTTCACGTGATTCATCATCTAAATTTCAAAGGTTTCGCTTTGTTGGACTTCTCATTTACTACATGTTATCTTTGTAGTCCAAATATGTAGAGGTCATCGGAGAACACCGTGACTTCCCTCGATATTGGGTCTACGATCCCTAACCAAGCACTCATTGTGCAGGTTTCCCGTCATTCCTCCAATTTTTGCCATCCTGTAATTAAAAAATTGTGGTAAATGTACATCCATCTTCAAGTAATGGAACTCTACCATAACTTCCTCGACCAAGTCCTGATCCAATGGTGTTCAACCAGAAGGCCATAGAGAGTTCGCACACATACTTAATCTTTCCTCGTCGGTTTATCGATTTTTCTTCTAGTGAGACTAAATACCCAACCACTTGTTGTTACATTTTGACCGTATTTTTTGACACGTACCCAGTGCTGGTAATTCTGTTCACCTCTAATTGACATGCCATATTCACCAGAATTCCGTACGTGCTTGAGTAGGAATCGTGGTGAGATTATCTCTGCCGTTGTTGCCATCAGTTGCATTGCTGTTATCATGTTGAACCGGTGAACATAGATTGCGCGATAAAGTGGTCTGTGTTTATGTGGTTTCTTCTGCCGATGACTTTTTCATTACATAAATAGGTGCTACTTTTGGTATTCTTTTTCACACACCTGGTTTTTCACATCTAAGCTTTATTCCCAGCTCAATAATGGCTTGGTCATTTATTTCAGTATGGTATGTGTTTTTGGTTTTGGCTGGTCATTCTTCCCTTGCACCTTTTTACTTCAAGTCCCACAATGGAACCCTGGTTTCCTCTCACACTTTCGGTCATTCTTGTTGGTCGTTGAGTATAATATGGTGTGTATAACAAACGCACAGGAATAATGAAAACGTCTATGTGTGTTGTGCGGTTCAATTTTATTTCGATTTTGCAGAAATGCAACTGCATTGCGGTAAATCGTCTCTGATTAGCTACTCTGATGTATACTGGTTTGAGAGAAGCAAGGATTCCCGTCCAGGTTAAGTCAATTTTAAAGGTTTTTCTTTTTGTTTTGTGAAATACGATGACGATCGACGAATGCGATCAGTCATGATGCTGTTTTAATTCCTTAACAATTTCACTGTTCATCTTTCCTCCCCCGTTTTTTACATTTGACGTACACAGCGTATCACAGTCAGCAAAATTACCGAAGGTGGTGCGGCTAGTAAATGTGGCAATCTATTCGTTGGCGATCAGATAATCAAAGTAAGTCGTCGTTTTCTAGCGTATCTCATGAATGTAGGTGTTAATGTGCGGTTTTAGATTGGTCACCATATTTGTTTTGCTTTTGGTCGCCATCACACGACGACTCCCTGAATTTGCATGAGCTATACAAGGAAAAATAAAAAAACTTCATCGTTCTCAGTTATATCGATTTGATGAAAATTACACTTAGGGTTCTCTCGTATGAAAACCACTGAAGTTTGATCGAGTTTAAGGCATGCGGTTTACGCAACGTAGTTTTATGCATTTCCGCCTTCTGGTTAACCAAGGNGGGTTGGGGGGGGGGGGGGCTGGGGAATTCAGAACCACTGTGTTGCCCTGTTTGTTGGGCCCGTACTCCCATACGCCTATTAGCACCTGATTCAATGCCTATTTAAACCTCAGCGTCCCTGCAGGGTTGAGGTTACCTTTTGAATTCTTTCTGTATGGCCATTAGATCAAGTGACGTAGTTCGACCAAAAATTATTGCCCAGTATCAAGTGAGGAACACCGATCGGATAAAAACTGCACTGCAAATAGAATAGGTATATTGAGTTTTATTTAATTGTGATACTGACCCAATCAAAACAGGCTTCTTCCAAGGTTTACGATTCTACCCGATGGTTAATCAGCCAATTATCACAACCCACGTATTTCATGTTGATTAGTGTTTCCGACTGATATTTTTGCTGTTCAACTATGTACACATTTCACAATAAGTAGTTTACGAATGACTGGACAAAATTTCCCTGGAATCACACGACTTGTTTCGCGGTTCTAGCCCCTCGTCATGCATGTGTATCCGGTAATCTTCTGTCATTGTGACGAAAATACATGTCCTGGGTACAGTTAAATGAATGAACAGACAAAAGACTACCATATACGCAATGCTTGACGAGCGGCAATAACCGCGAAACCGGTCGTGTAATTGTGGGGAATTTTCGTCTAGTCATTCATATAGTACTTATTGTAAAATATTCAGTGAAGACGCTGAAGTGGCGTATGTTGCGGTTAGTAGCATCTAACCCACCTACAAAACATCGAATCATAGTACTGATTCTTCAATGGACTGGCTCTGGAAAAGCTGTCCAAACAAATTTACCCGGTGTTGCAAATGAGGTTATTGTGACGAATATTACAGTGAAAGCGCCCTCTCTAGGTACAATAATGAGTAGAATTTTCTAGAAACTCTCTAGAGGCGCACTTCATAAACATTTTTTGGGGACTGACCCTCCAGAGTCATTGGAGCTTTTCGAGACTGCACTTATTTGTGTGTTTTGTATCCCGATCGTCCTCATCCTCAGATCGTATCCATACAATCACAACCTCTCTTATTCAAATTCTCCCCTGTGCTACTATTATCGGTTTTTCCTCCGTTGTTCTTCCATCTCTCATCCACTCTGTGACTTTTCATTAACTCTTTTATTATTGATAATGTTCATATCCACGCATTCCGATTCATTAGTTAATCACTTTCTCAGAGGTCATAATGAGTTGTGGAAATAAGAAGCCACAACTTGATTCGGATACGCAATTTAATCATTTGTGCATATTGTTTCATCCACTACTACCTGGTAGATTAACGGGATAGACGTCCAGGATGCTCGACATGATCAAGTTATTGCACTACTTACTGGAGCTGGAACTATTGTTGACCTGGAAGTTCTGCGTCCCGGGGCAAATTCCGGTGATGTTCNCATGCGAATCCAACTGGTAAATCCTTAGGTACTTATTGTCTGTTTTCAAGAACCCTGAGATTAGGTTAGTTTGGCGTACTAACATGTATTTCAAATTGTAAATTTTGTTGTTTGCATGCTCATTCACAGGCACTTGGGTTGGATGTTCCTGTATTACGTACATGATCTGGGGTAGCTCATTTACGATTGAACATTTTGTTGTGTTCCACTAATCACATTGGACGGTTATTTCATCCTTCTTTGTATCCTTCAGCTACGCGTACTTCTTGCCATGGTTCGATTTCCAAACCTTGTGTTAAGGGGGGCGGGAATAAAAGTCGTTCCCGAATTCCGACAGTGACACGCAAATTGCACTGTTGATTTCGAATAGGAATGTAAAAGCAGTCCAGCGCCTCCTGTCTTCCATTGCACTAATTTTATCGCAACTCACACACACTTTCAGCATGTGCATCCATTATCTAGTGGTTGTATTTATCTGGTTTCCATTTAGTTTCCCCTTGGTAAATTAATCATTTAATGGTCCCGACTGCTTACCAATAGCTTTTACTGGTATTCGTCGTCATCCATCAGAACGGGAGTGCACTTTGACGTCATGTGGTGGCTTGTGCTCTTCCATAAACCTGAGAGCTATACCGGATAGTTCCTCACGACCGTAGATCGAATCATATCTGAAAGGACAATGGGTAGAGACCACACGAAGCTCCCTCTCACAAGGCCAGCTGCTTGGGCACCTGCTGGCTTCCTTTGACTATCCACTCTCGACTCTGGAGAGGTCATTCCAACAGACAAACACGGGGACGGGCAGGTTACCAGTCAAGAAGCCGCTGGATGGACGTAGGAGCGGCTTACCTGGGACTTGCTCCCGACGGTGGGAGATGTCTTCGCACTTCGTTTGACAGCTGCCGCCCGCCCCAGCTGGGCAGCCCCCAGCCAATATGTATTCCATTGTTTTTCACACACGTCTGAATCTAGACTTTGACAAACGATTCACGGTTCGATAACCTTTATAAAAAGAATAAGAGATTCATGATTTGTGGGCGGATTATTCCCTGCTTTCCCAATCCAAGGCAGGTGAATCTGTTTAGGGAATTCACAACGGTAGACCCTAGCTACCCAAAGCCCGACCCGCAACGCAGCGGGTCGGTGTGGGAAAAATCGCAGTCCATTTGGGGCCGATCTCCTGTTCATCGGATCATATGCCGTTCGGATGGGGTCAGACGTCAAATACACTTCGATGCCCAAATAAGCCGCTGACCACGGTCACAACAAGGGAAGTGTGTATGAATCCTGTGCCCCCTCCTAGTTGCTTGGGAATCAGGGTGCCAATGAAATGCTGTCCAGTCCGCGTTCCGCTCGTCTCATTGGGTGCACGAGACTAAGGGCCAATCCCGAACAGCTGACCGACAATCAACGCACCAGGCAACAATACACTGAACCGTGACAGGTCGCTAGAATTTCCCACACGGGTTCTTTGGTCACGCTGCTGCGTTGGATCTCCGCACCACTGCTTTTTGGGTCAGAATTTTGAGTTAGGGTTCTTCAAGAAGAGAAAAACCTTCGTCGTAGTGGACTACGTCGAAGTATGTCGTGCCCCAAAGTATTAGGTACTCATTTGGAAAGCTCTCTTTCTCATCTGTCTAGTTCTTGTTCTCACTCCCAAATCATAGAAGATGCCTCCTGTTTGCACCACCCTTGGTATATCAATCAGCACTCAACTAATAAGGTCAGCCAATTAGAAGCTGTCAGATTTTTGTAACCAAAATCCCTGCATTCAATGTCCGCACACTCCATCAGAACGGTCAAAAAGCTGGCTTAACCAGAATCGTTGAAACTTACAGTTTAAATGTACACGGTGTGTTCGAAACACGCATACATAACCCTAATTCAATCATCACATTATGATCTTCAAACTCTATCTCATTCTGGCGCTTCACTCCTCGTGTGTCAAGCGATTTGGCATCTGAGGCTCGCGGTGTTGGGATTGCGCTAAGTGGCAAGGCCGAGTGTTCACTTCTCGAATGGATTCCGGCTAATAGCCGACATTGTGCTGTACCTCTGGATGGTTCAGTACGGGTTAACAGATGCAGAACGAAGCGTCGATGCCTTTTCGTTTTACCCGTGTTTGCAACTACTGATTGCAGTTCGCGGAAATGAAGGATTAGTTCTACAAGAACCCATAAACTACTCAAAGTGCTCGGTCAATGAACATCCTGGTGAACGCTCATCATCGTCACCATCTTACTGCCTAATACAGTAAAAAGAATTTCACTGATTGCCTCCAAACTCAAGGTTAGTGGGAATGTCTGAGAAGGATAGAGATTAGGCCTAATCTTAAGGACACGGAAAGAAAGGAAACCTCTATGGTCAACACAGAGTGCACAGTTTAAGTGTGCATACATACTATTTCAAACTTTCTGGACTGATAAGAAGTGACAGGAAAATCGCCACTGCTATCGATTTGTTGCCATGACCTTCAATGTCCTCAACCACTGCCCACCTCTTCACAACGTTGGATTCAAGTCGACCTGATCACCAGCACGGATCCATTCAAGACATCCGCTCCCACAAGCCAACACTCGTGCACATGGACCATGCTCTTCTACGGGCCAGATTCTCCCTACGCCTAGTTAACAACCACAGCAAAGCCACCGAAAAAGGATGCGCACAATAAAATTTCAGCGATAATTGCAAATCAGCCTTCAAAGCGGAACTACTTGACCGCTTTTCAACTCCACCATCCGGCGAAGGACTCATTGAACACTAGTTGGTATTCAAGGAAGCTATCCAAATGTCGATCAAAGCAGTAGCGGATTCTGGCGCACGGTCACATCAAAAACGATGGATCTTCTCAAACTCGTTTGCCCTGCTGGACGCTCGTAAATCCCTGAAACACCAGCTGATCAAGAGCTTGAGGAATGATCGTGAGAAGTAGAGGGTTTGGAAGTGTAAGCACATGGAAAAGGTTGCGACTATCAGTAATGGTGGCCTTTTTCCGTTTAATTACGAATACGGGCCCAAAGGAAATAGGCATGAAGTAATTAAGCAGTCGGACGGCACACTGATTCATATTCAACAGCGCCGTCCTGATCAATGGGCAGAACACTTTGAGGCGCAATTCAGCTGGCCATCGTCGACACAAAGTCTCCTATCATACTCTTCAGTTGGGAAAATACTGACAGTTGATACGAGTCCTCCAGCTGAAATGGAATTTACCCGGGAAATCAATTAGCTCAAAAGCCATAAGGCCTCCGACTCGGATTGGCTATCCCTATCGATCTTTAGGGATGGAGGTTCAGTTTCCATTTTTAGTAAACGAAATTCCCGGACTCAGTGTCGGAGAGGTAAGAGGTTCCAACTAAATGGTGCAGATCGGTCATCTTACCGATTCACAAGAAAGGTGACAGGTCCTCTTGTGAAAGCGACCTCTAAACTTCTCACCTGTATTTTACTCCATTGCTTGTCTGCCGCCGATGAGCGGTACACGTATGAGAACCAGTCTGGTTTTAGAACTGATTGAGTTTGTATGGACCACGTCTCCACCCTCCGTCAAATTTTAGACCACAGACACTCCTTTCGTACACCCACTAGCCTTATCTTCCTTTACCTGAAACGCGGCTTTCGACTCAGTGGATCACTCTGAACTTTTTCGCTCAAGAAGTTTATTTCAATATCGCGATCACTTATTACTCGAAAGTGATGTTCATCAGGGTTGCCCTCTCTCCCTTATATTTAACTTCATCATAGATTTAATTATTGAAACAGCTCTATCCTCATGCGAGGGAAACTAAGTCGATTTGCTTCCGGGTGTTAGACTGTCTGTTCTGGAATATCCAGACAACCTTGTGGCATCAAGTGAAGATCCATGTAAGTTGCAAGCTTTTCTGGATAGTTAGAGTGCCAGCGTAGCCATGTTCGGTTTGCGTTTTGCACCTTCAAAGTGTAAAGTGTTACTACAAGATTGGGTTGGCCCAGCCACCAACCTCACCCTGACCGACGAAATAGCAGAATAAGTAGACAAATTTTGCCATTTTGGTTGCTATATCCCAGCTGGCGGAAGCGCCATAGATGAAGCCTCGCTAGTTTTTAATGGCGTTTTGATCGTCTTATTTATTTTTAAATGGACCTTTCTCGTATGCAGTTGACTGACGCAATTCGTTCGATGAACTGTTTTTGATTGCCTTTTTTTGTCCTGTCAGCCAATGGCTTTGTGACCCCGCCCAATCCGGAGGTAGTGCTTTGTGCTGCCCCGTCGGTTGCGCGCCAGCCCTCTTCCTCATTTACCGTATCCGACAAATACGCAAAAGAGTCCTGGCTGGGTCATGCCAGTGGCTATCGCAATTCACCTCCCGCAGCCGCTGTCAGTTCTGCTTCACAAGCAATACCCAATAATCCTGTGTATGTGCGTCACGAAAAAGGGATGGCCGTAGAAAGTGTAACCATTCAACTGGATGGTGGTCCTCTTGGATTAGCAATCTATGGTGGATCAGATATCAACTGTCAACCCTTCAGTTCCGAAGAGCCTGGTATTTTCATTTCTCGAGTAAGTTCTGTCTCCGTGTGGGGTTTTCTCTTCAAACCAGTCGAGCAGCTTGAGAGCTCATTCATCTATTTTTATACAGTTCAATAGTCTCGCAAACTGCGAAATCGAAACTGCTCCGATACGATCCTTGATGTATGAATATTATAGCTTCAGCTAACTGCAGATTCTGTACTTTATCCCTCATCTGCTAATCAGATTTCGAACGAGGGAGCAGCGCAGAATAGCGGTCTTCGAGTGGGTGACCGCATTCTCCGAGTCAATGATGTAGACCTTCGTAAGGCTACGCACGATGAGGCAGTTGAAGCCCTTATTCAGCCTGTCAATGAATTACATCTGGAAGTGCGACGTGACCCGACTCCACCGGGTCTACGTGTAAGTTTCTCACCTACGAACGTTATCCTCGACCCTAACCGATTTTAGGCCTAATTGTTGTGAGTCTCTTATTTCACGTGCACTACTCTCTCTAATTTAATTATCATATAATAATTTTATTCACGTTAGTGTGATAAACAGTAGCATGAGTCAAGCTCTCACATTAACCTCTTGCTGGATTATTAGGAGCGACCACTCAAATCCTCGGAATTTGTATCGCGCAATATATAAGACGCTAACAGATGTGGCATTGACTTCAGTTTCACTTTGTACAGCCATTGACCATGCACTCCCATGCGGCGGTTTTGGTTACTTGTAAGATAACGAAGCGGCTCATCGATCTTGGCAGATTAAGTGTCAGATAACCATACCGTACGGAACAATAACTAGTCGCTTGACGTAATGGCTAACACACAGTTGCGAAAATTTGCCGTTTCCCTTCCAGGTTCGGATTACAAACATAAAAAAACGTTTTCACACCACCGGTTTTAATTTACCTCGTCATCACATAGTATCCTCACCCAACGGTATATGACTTTTCAGGACCCCAGTCCAGATATGGGCATATCAGATGGAAATCATATACAGGCACAGCTTCTTCAACCCTCGACGCCTCCTAACAGATTTCTCGTCTCACATTTTCATCTAATTGTGGTGGTATGTTTGCAAATAAATCACCACAAGACAGACTTTCAGGTTTTCGTAGAACGTGCCCTAACTGTCTCAGTGGAATGAAATTATCTCGACCACCGAAAGTTTCTACTCCTGAGCACATCGTCTGGCCTCACCAATCACGCAATGCATCCGCCTTAAACGGACAGTGTTGCGCAGACAACGGTTGTCGAAACTAGCTACTCATTGATCGTGATCTGCTCTTAGTCAAGTTCCAGAATACGGACTTTCCTTCTGGACATTCACAAGTTCTATTTTCATTGATTCATCTTTTTTATCTTTTTCTTTTACTTCCTTTTATTGAACATGCACTGGTACAATTTTCAGGAAGGGGGGAAGCGGCCAATTAAAGGGCTGCCATTAAACACACAATGGGTAAAGTCAGGCGGTGGTGGTGGGATTCGAACACACACCCCCGGGTTGATAATTTGGTGACGTTACCACCGGGCCACCACTGCCCTGCAACCCTTTGTTCAATCAGCCGCACTAATCTCTGAGGCTTCCCTCATTAACCTGTGCCTGGGATTCTATTTTCAATAGCAGAGGTATTATCCGAGCGTACGACTCATCATCGCTCGAGTGTGTCTGATTCCGAGCACAACTGCCTTCATGTGACGATATATGCGTCGAAACGCTCCCAGGCGGTAACTCCTTTGATCCAGAATGTGCTCTTTGAAGACGCATTTCAGTTACAGGTCAAATCAATTCTTACAACCATTAACCATACGCTTTCGTGCGCTGGTTTTGGTTGCTGTTTTTTGGTGTCCCATTTGGATAAAAGAGCAGAATGATGATTAGCATGTTGAGAGCAGATCTAAGCGGATGGTAGCACATTTTCATAAAATGAAGTTACCAGAATAATGAGTAGATGCATGAGCACCATTTTTTGCAACACCCAAACATATCGCTCAGTGTCTCTAACCACCGGTGACCATGATCTCTAGGTCGCCAGCCAAGGAGCCCTCATGCCAGGTCTTCGACTGACCACCTTTGATCTTTTTCCAACCGCTACTTGCCTCGGAAAACATCACTCACCGTGGCAACCTATTTGGTGACATGCGTAACACATGTCCCAAACTATGTAATCTATGGAGATCGATCACTTGCTCCAGTGGGCGACCGCAACTGTCTGTTTTAGGCCTAACTTCAGCATTGCTCGTTCGGTTGACTCACCAGATTCGTGCAATGCTGCGTAGACAACGGTGTTCAAACACCGACAGCCTATGTTTA